ACTGAATGGAGCACTGGGTGTTATATGCAAACAGTGAATCATGGAACACTACATCAAAAACTAATGATGTAATGTATGGTGATTAACATAACATTATAAAAAAAAACTAATGATGTATGGTGACTAACATAACATAATAAAATAAAATTAAGTTAAAAAAATAAACTATAGGAAAAACAACACAATCCCATCACCAAAAAGTAATGTGATTAATTTATTAATGAAGTCATTATAACTTTTATATATAAACATATGCACACACTTTTCAAAACATAATTTTTTATAGGCACTAAATATTTCATCATAGATTTAACCATTGTTCTTTTGTTCATTTATGTTTGCTTCTGTAAATAATGCAAACATAATAATCTTGTACATTTTTGTCTACAACTCTGAGGTATGTGTAGAGTAGACTCCTAGAAATTACTGGTTCCAAACTATATAACATTTGATACAGATACTCGATATGGACCATTAAATTGCCTTTAAAAAATATCGGCATCATATGAGAATGGCCATCTTATCATATCCTTATCCATTTCCTTGTATGGATTATTATGATTTAGAAATTATTGCCAGTCTCAACAGTGATAAATGTTAATCCTTGTTACTAAAATTGCTATTTATTTGTAATTTGATTTTAACTTCTTTTCATATTGGATATATTTGACTACTAGGAAAACAAACTTTCTCCATATAGCTTTCCTGTGGAGTTTAGAATGCAGCTAATACACATTTTGGTTAACTGCTTAATGGCAGTTGTTAAAGTCACTATTCAGTCAAGATCTAAGATGAGTATTCTCATCATAGAATTAACTTCTAAGAAATAAGAATAAATCTTCATTTGTTTAAAATCATAAATTATTATTACACCTTCAATATTATTATAACATAGAAACAATAACTTCAGTCTGAGCCTAACTTGCTTTTGTGGTTACTACACTACATTTTGCAGTACTAAATAGATGTGCTCTCTCAAGTAAGACTGATGAAGAAAAACATGTTTTTACCTAGCTGTAGTATAGGGTACCACTGATGGTCTTACAGTAAGTTATTAAACTTTTCTCTTTGATAGTAACTGAAAGAGCACTCTCCTCTTGAGTTTCTGGATTGAAGATTGGATCAGTAGTTAAAATTTATAAAAACAGTCCCACAAACTAAAACATTCTGATATTTTCTTTATTTGCTATTTTATACTATCACTTAAGAAAAATCTGTCACTTTTTAAACCTTGGGTTTAAAATGTGACAGTGGAGCAATGTGTTTGGTTTTCCAGACAACAAAATTACCTCTGAATTTTCATCTGCTTCTAAGCTTATATCACATGCACAATAATTTAGCATCTTTTCTGGAGTAGAACGATAGGATCTTTACAGCAGGTATCATGTAAAAAATACTTGCACTCTTGGCATACATGGTGATTTCTTTAGCAGCTTTCTGCAAATAAACTATTTTCATGTGTTCAGTCAGCCTTTTTAACATGTTTGAGTGCTATCATGTTTTGCTTGAATATCCTGATAAAATAGTTCTAAAATCTCTTATATGCCATAAAATTTGTCTTTGGCTGAAGGATGATCAGCCAGCCTACTATGTTCCCACTTAGAGCCAGTTATTCTCTGAATTACGTTTAGCTACATTTACTTTCCATGCACACAACTAATAGAACATGCTTGCAATTTCTGACTTAATCATGGTCTTCACTGTGTTTGTTCCCTTGTCAATGACAGTTCTATAGCACTTGTTAAAAACGGACTTTTTGTCCTAGTATTTTTCCAATCAGATACACTGTATTGTTTGCTGTGAGACCCAGCAAAGTACGCAAGTAAATCAGAAACTGTTAAATTCATCAATTTACTCTACTGTCATACTTAAAAATATTTCTGTCCAAATGTCTGATGTACAAGATGCAAAAGTAACATATTTAATAATATTACTTACTGTTTTGTGCCCTGCAGATTATAATTCATGGAAAAGGTTTTTAGAAACATGTTTTCTAAAAAGAATTTTTGCTTGGGATTCACAGTTTTTGCAAATTTCATATACCTTCTGAGTTCAACTACTAAAAATGTAATCTAACAATTATTTCAACCAGAATTTTGTCTCAATTTTTAGTGTCATTAACACAAATCTAAAAGGAATTCTTTCCTAAAGAATTCTTGTAAAATCTTGTTTAGAAGTTTGGGCAGTCACTCTAACCCTTTATTTTCTTCATATTCTCTATATACCTCATTATGTTTGGGCTGAATATGTTTATTGTGAATGTTGTATATTTTGAAGTTTTTCATTCCCTTAAAATTTTGGTTTAGCAAACTTGACATTCTGCTATTAATTCACCCTCAGATGATGTGACAAATTTCCAAACAACTTTTTTCTTAAAAATTTCATGGCCTAAATGGAATGAAATATTGTTCCTGAAAGTTATTTCATTTAATTTTATGCATTTTCATTCCCTAAATAAATGTTTTGGAGACTAAAAAAAATATAACTCATTATTTTTAAAAGATAGATTTATTTATTTATTTATTTATTTATTTATTTATTTATTTATTTTAGAGAGCGAGATTGGGGGAGGGGAAAAGGGAGAGGGAAAGAATCTTAAGCAGACTCTGTACTGAGCATGGAGCCCGATTACGGGGCTCCATCTCATGACCCTGAGATCATGACTTGAGCCAAAACCGAGAGTCAAATGCTTAATTGACCGAGCCACACAGTGCCCCTCATTCTTTACTCTAAAGTTTATTTCTTCAGGGAAGGGAGAGGATTCTGAGAGAACAAGATTTACACATGTAAAATAATATGAAAACAGTTTAATATAATGGAGCACAGAAAGCTAAGTTGAATTAGCTTGTTGGCTGGTGTACTTTCAGTTTTCATGGTGGTGTTAGATCTTGAGATGGTGTTCAAAGTGTGGGCAAGATTTGGATACACAACAAGAAGGAGAGAGAGTATTCCAAGGAGTGAAAAATGTGAGTAAAGACTAGAGACAGGAATAACATGATGTGTGCCCAGGACAGTGAAATCCACTGTGGTTGGAACAGAGAAAATGTTGGGAAATAGAAAGTGCTGCTATGTGTTAACATTTGAAGGTTTTATATTGAATATACACAAGTTAGTAATTTATGACATGTAAACGCATTATGTGATGATATTGAGTTTACCAGGTTATCTACTTATGCCTTTATATAGGAGACTTTACTCTCTTTAGGAGGCAGTCATTACTTATCTAAGAAACCACCTTCAAAGGGTACGTGGACAAGATAACATTGTGGTGTATTCATCAAGACTTTCAAAAATGTGAAATATATATATATATCTTAATGAAAACATGAAGATACTATACTGTACTTTTAATATGGCATTTTCTATTTATCTGTATTTTTTAAAGATTTATTTATTTTAGAGAGAGAGAGAGTGAGCATGAGTGGGAGGGTAAGAAGGAGAAGGAGAGAGAATCTCAAGCAGACTCTGTCCCGAGTGTGGAGCCCAACATGGGGCTTGATCTCATGACCCTGAGATCATGACCTGAGCTGAAACCTAGAGTTAGACACTTAACTGACTGTGCCACCCAGGCACCCCAATTTATCTGTATTTTATAAATGACTTACCATATCACAGACATGGTTATGAAAACTCATCTTTGCTTACTTTGCAATATTTGCAAATCTTCCATTTGCCTTAGCATGCATGATTTTTAGGGTCTGCATTCAGAGGACAAGTTGAAAAGGAAGTATTATTGGTCAAATATGAAGTCTATTTATCATATATATGCTTAGGAATAAATGCATTTATAGGACACCTTTGGTCCCACATGCAATATCAAAGGTAGTATGGAATGCAATATAAGTTATTAACCTCCAGTTAGTGTTTGGAGATGGAAGACAAGGTGGTCAACATTTTTGAAAAGATTGGTACCAAGTTATATGAAGCCAATAGAATATGTCTTATTTAGGACACTGTTCACAGTAATTTGTGTTTAGGATTTCAAATGTTTTTGAAGTCTATGAATTTTCTACATTTGGCCCTTAGCTTCTCTTTCCCATGTCAGATTGACTAGATATTCAGTCCAAATAATAACTAGAGGGAATATAAGAAGAAATACATAAAAACATATTGAATTGAGAAGGTTAATTTAATCTAACTTTAATATAGGTTAATAAATTACGCTGCCTTCCACTGAGAAGATGCAAGTCCAAATAAAATTAATTCTTTAATGTCAGTATAATTCAAATAATTAACATGTTCTTTTCCAACAGGGAACAGAAGAGTAAGCCATGTGGTGATAATGGGCAATTTAGAGATTTTGATTCACTTGTTTTACTCTTTTATTTATGTATATATATATATATCAAGAATTTTTATATATTCAAGTTTTGTATTCATTAGATCATTTAGATTAGTGAAATAAAATTGAAAATGTTATTGTAATGTTGCTTTTCCTTTAAATTCCTCTCATATTGAAAAATGTGTACCTCAATTGTAAAGAAAATTTAGTGGGTTAACTCATGTAATAACTTTGTAATGAGTTACTTGTATTAATAGGTTATGTAACTTTTTCTCATTTGATATCAAAACATCTATCAACTTAGAAATACTTAATGTTGTTTATAATCGTACTTGATGCTTTCTTCAGGTGATAATTCAAGATGATGGCCCTGCAAAGTTGGACCCCAAATATTTTGGAGAGTTACTTGCGGATTTAAGCCGTAAAAATACAGATCTATATTATTGCTTATTAGAACATTTGCAGAGAATTGGAGGAAGGTACTGTAAATATATAATATCATTTGCCTCGATGTTGTAGCTATCAAATATTTTATGATACTTTGGTATTTTTTTAATGTACTTTATTTTTTAGAACAGTTTTAAGTTCACAGCAAAACTCTAGTACTTCTTTTTTTTTAGGGTTTTATTTTTAAGTAATCTATACACCCAACAAGGGGCTCCAACTCACAACCCCCAAGATCAAGAGTCACATGCTCCACTGACTGAGCCAGCCAGGTGCCCCAAAACTCTAGTATTTTACTGGGGAAATAGGGTAACTATATGAGCATATTTGAGCAAATGTCTCATTTTAAGAGTTAATGTACTTCATGAAAATCATCAAAAGAGATCACACCAGTCCTTTTAGGATCAGTAAAGAATTCTGTGAACCTTCTTTTGTAACATACTTTAATGGCAAATGCAACCTCTTGGACAGGGAGCTCAAAAAACGCAAAGCATACTACGACTTGTTATAAGATATTATACTGATGATATAAGATATCAACCACTGTCAATACACTACTATTCATCTTCCATTGATTTATGCTCAATGTACAAAGGCCAGAGTTTAATATACATTTAGTGTTATATATTATAAAAAATATTATGTATTATTTAAATATATATTGCATTGCATATAATATATTAAATGTAAATTATATAAGTATTTGTAAATTAATACAAATCAAATATGTATATTTTATAATTATATACTAACTAATAATTATATGTATTAAATATATACACATAAACAATTTATCAACTACTCATGCATAGATGAGAGCATATTATGTCCTGAAATGAATTCCATAAGCTACATAAGCTACAAAATTTGCCTTTTACTACATAGTCACATCATATATATGGCCAACTATCAGACAAATTCTAGGAAAGCTCCACACATTCAGAAAAATATGTAGGATAAGGGAAAGTTGGTAGAATTTTTTTCTAATTCACACTTCACTAGCTGGATTCTTCTACCTCGTAAAGATCTTTAATCCCTTATCCACCTTTTTCCCTCTCCATTTATTACAATCCTTTCTCCCCATTTTTAACTCCATCTTCTCTAACTTTTCTTGCTTTCATATTCATGACTGCACCATTCTCTTACTAACATCCTCAAGTGCCTTACCTTCTTATCTTATTGTTCCTCCCATTTAGCAAAATCCCAATTCTTGAGTAGTCTAGCTCTCTGCTTTATTTATTGTTTCTTTTTACCACTATCTACTCTGTCCAATACATAACACTCACTACCCCTAGAATTCAGAGGGCTCTGTGAGGGCTGTTTTATTTACTCTGGTTTCCTTGGTGTTTAGCATGGTGACTAGTTTAGTGTGGTGTTCAATAAATATTTATTGAATATATGAATGCCTTCTTTTTAAAATTTTTATTTAAATTCAAATTAGTTAAGACACAGTGTAATATCAGTTTCAGGCATACAATATAGTGATTTAACACTTCCATACATCACCCTGTGCTCATCACAAGTGCCCTCCTTAATCCCCATCACCTATTTAACACACCACCCCACCTCCCTTCTGGTAACCATGTTTGCTCTCTATAGTTATCTTATAAAACTCAATACACAAAAAACAATCCAATTAAAATGGGCAGAATACAAAGGATATATGTACCCCAATATTTATAGCACCATTATCAACAATAGCCAAACTATGGAGAGATCCCAAATGCCCATTGACTGACGAATGGATAGAGAAAATGTGGTATATATATACAATGGGATATTATTCAGCCATCAAAAAGATTGAAAGTTTGTCATTTACAATGACATGGATGGAACTAGAGTGTATTTATGCTAAGTGAAATAAGTTAGAGAAAGACAAATACCATATTATCTCACTCATAATTGGAATTTAATAAAGAAAACAGATGAACATATAGGAAGGGGGAAAAGAAAAAAAAAAGAGAGAAACAAGCCATAAGTGACTCTTAACAATAGAGAACAAACTGAGCGTTGATGGAGGGAAATGGGTAGGGGATGGGCTAGATGGGTGATGGGTATTAAAGAGGGCACTTGTGATGAGCACTGGGTGTTGTATGTAAGTGATGAATCACTAAATTTTGCTCCAGAAACCAATGTTGCACTACATGTTAACTAACAAAATACATATGAAAAGATGCTCAATATCACTGATCATCAGGGAAATGCAAATCAAAACTACACTGAATGCCTTCTTTACTGCTACATCCATGCAATTGAGCACAGTTAGAGAAAACAAAGGCATTTATTTGAATTGGAGTCATTATAAATGCATGATTTCCATCTTCAGTTAGGCCTTCTTCATTGTTTTATTCTAATAAACACCTTTTCTCATTACCCAAAAAACTATTTCACACAACCAGCCATTTGCATAAGGTCACTACCTTAAAATCTTCCCTCTCACTCTGAGTAGTCAATTATTTATTGAGTGTACACTCTGTGCCAGGGACACTGTGCTAAGTACTTTTCCTATATTGTCTAATTTCTACAGTAACCCTAGAAAGTTTTAAATGGAGACCCAAAGGGAGTAAGTTATTAACTTAAGGTCACAACAGTTACTAAATGCTTGAAATGGATTAAACATTTTTGAGTACTATTTTACCTATAAACTGTGACTCAGCTTTTCTACAAAGCCTCTCTTAAATATTTAATTTGGTAAAGTGTTTATCTTCTGTACATTCATCATGCCTTATGAATATTTCTATCAAAGTATCATGTTGTAAAATCAAAAGCATATAGAGACTTAGTCTTAAGTACCCTGATTCTATATCCAGAGTTCATGTCTTGGGCTTATGTCTCAGCTTTTGTTACATACTTGATGTGTAATGTCAGGCAACTTGTTTACTTTCTCTGTACTTCAGTTTCTTCATCTGTAAAATAGGTATTATAATAACAATACTTATCTCTTAGATTTGTTATAAGCCAAAAATGATTTAAGACATACACTTACAAGCAGCATCAGCATCATGTGAGAATTTGGAATTAGCACTACAGAATCAGAAACTAAGGGAGTAAGGGCCAGCAACAAACCTCCAGAGGACTCTGATATATGCTTAAGTTTGAGAATCACTTACCTAAGGCCACAAAGGTCAAAAGATTTGAGATTAGAACCCATATTCTGAGAAGTTTTTCTCCTTAGGCAAATCACTTAACCTTTCAGTATTAGACATATATCTCCAAATTATTTAAGATAATGCAGAAAAATTGAAGAAATTATCAATTTTTTGAATCATCAAATTTGAAAGGTTCACAGTATTTAGACTGGTTTGACATTGGTCAAATTTTGTCTTAGAACAACTATGTTTATATGAAGTAAGACAGTATTTGCGGTTTGTATTGCCCCAAAATAATTCAGAACACATGGATTTGACAAAGTTGCTACTCAACGAAGGGTTATAGAATGAGATTTGAATATATTCCAAATTTATTAGTTTCATACTAATTAGAAGTAGACAAAGTAACTGAACAAAGGAAGTTATGTTATTTCATAGTGATTATTCCAGTAAAAGTGTAATACGTGGTTTTGGAACAACACTTTCATTGAAGGGTTTTGATAAATTTACATGGATAACTTAAATATATGATTAAGCAATACAAAGCCTTGAATTTAATTCTTAGAGTACCTAAAATAATACACACACAAAAGAAATAGAGGGCGCCTGGGTGGCTCAGTTGGTTGGGCGACTGCCTTCGGCTCAGGTCATGGTCCTGGAGTCCCGGGATCGAGTCCCGCATCGGGCTCCCTGCTCAGCGGGGGGTCTGCTTCTCCCTCTGACCCTCTTCCCTCTCGTGCTCTCTATCTCTCATTCTCTCTCTCTCAAATAAATAAATAAAATCTTAAAAAAAAAAAAAGAAATAGAAAGGTAGTGTCTCCACATTAATAAACACTCCACAGTGGAGAGGGTCTTTTAAAATTTTGGTGATTAAGACTTTCTGTTAGAAGGTTGTCAGTTTCTTTCTCTTTATTCCTTCCCTCTTTTCCACCTTTCATTATTTTCTGTTTGCTTTTCCTTATTATATTCCTTCCTTCTTAGGAGGTGAGATGGCATATAGTAGTGTCACTGTTTTTAAAAAAAATTAAAATTTTTATTTAAATTGCAGTTAGTTAACATACAGTGTAATATTAGTTTCAGGTGTACAATATAATGATTCAACACTTCCATACAACACTGGTGCTCATCATAACAAATGGACTCCTTAATCCCTATCACCTACTTAACCCATCCTCCACCCACCTCCCCTCTGGTAACCATCAGTTTATTCTCTATAATTAAGAGTCTGTTTCTTCGTTTGCCTCTCTCTCTCTTTTTCCCCATGCTCTTTTGTTTTGTTTCTTAAATTCCACATATGAGTGAAATATGGTATTTGTCTTTCTCTGACTGACTTATTTCCCTTAGCATAATACTCTCTAGCTCCACCAATGTCATTGCAAATGGCAAGATTTCATTCTTTTTTTTATGGCTGAGTAATATTCCATTATATATATATATATATATATATAAAACCTCTTTTTTATCCATTCATCAGTTGATGGACACTTGGGCTGTTTCCATAGTTTGGCTATTGTAAATAATGCTTCTATAAACATCAGAGTGCATGTATCCCTTTGAATTAGTATTTTTGTATTCTCTGGGTAAATACCTAGTCATGCAATTGCTGGATCCTAGAGTAGTTCTATTTTTACTTTTTGAAGAACCTCAATACTGTTTTCCAGAGTGGCTGCACCAGTTTGCACTCCCACCAAGCATGCAAGAAGGTTCCCCTTTCTCTACGCCCTTACCAACAATTGTCATTTCTTGTCTTGTTGATTTTAGCCATTCTGACAGGAGTGAAGTAATATCTCATTGTAGTTTTGATTGGTATTTCCCTGATGACCAGTGATGGTGAGCATCTTTTCCTGTGTCTGTTGGCTATCTCTGTCTTGGGAAAATGTCTAATCATGTCTTCTGCCCATTTTAATTTTTTTAAATTTCTGTTTAAATTCTAGTTAGTTTGGACA